AACTAAAATTACTTATAACGTACCAAACAACGATGAATACTAAACAAAAAATGATGTTGATATACTGAATTCTTCTTCTAGTATGTTGAAATATAAAAATATGAAAACAATGTAAATAACAGTTGTACTCTTGACGAAAAAAACTAAATTGAATTCTATCCCATTTATATAAAATTTAATAAGAATTTTATAAGACAGTCATGGAAGAAGCACGAGAAACTTGTTAAACGAAAATATTAAACACGACGACACGATTGTGAACAGCTGTTTCATTAAGAAGTATTATTCACATGGCCAAAATGTAAACAACTCTGTGGAGGGATCATCAAAGGATCTTTAATTAATCAATGGGGTTAACAATCTTTAATTTAGATTGAGGATAATTTAACGACTAATTATCCTAGAAAATACTTCACTGATGTGAAACCATCAGATAAATAATTATAAAAAAATATTTATACATAAGGTAATTTAATTAATTACCAATAAATAAATATAGACCTATGTATTTAACACATGGAAAATAGCTAATTCCATATTGAAATATATCTATATATATATATATATATATATATATATATGAGTGAATAATTTTTACAATATTTAACATTTCCAAATAAAATAAAATTCTAAATAGTAGGTTCTTAATTTAGTATGTCCACAGTACCTGTTACAATAGATTTTACACGTGTTCAATATGTATGTATTTATCTTTCTGTATTATCATTTGTTTAATATAGAGAGTAATTTGTGTATTATTTCTAGAGATTTAAAGTATTTTATATAATTTGTTTGTTGAGAATTACCTTGTTTGTTGTTAAGGTATTTTGTGCTTTTAGTACTTTAATTGCTGTGAGGTTACATTTAGTTTCAATGCAGTAACATTCAACATTTAGTTCTATAAATTGGATGGTTTCTTTAACATATATACATTCTCCACCTTTTTTACACTATCGTGGCAATACGATGACGGATAGATACATCAATTCAATAACAATACAGTTATTTCATGTCATTTTTTTTTTTTTTTTTTTTTTTTTTTTTTTTTTTTAAGTGAAGCTTTATTATACCCTTTCTATTGAAGTGGCGTCCGTGGTTTGTGTAAAAGGAGCGTGAAATATGAGAAAAATTTATGAAATTTGTATGTTTATGTAAAATAGTCAATTTATATAATTTTTTATTATTGTCGATATTTCTTTTGTTCAGCATTGGTGAATCGTATCTCCAAGGTAGGCCAATAATATAAACATGTGTGTAAGATTATATTATTCTTTCTTCAATGTTTAAAAAAATCATCAATATCACTAATTCTAAGCAAATGTCATTTGTTCCACACTAAATCATTATAATTTTTTTTACCCACACTTTTTTATTTCAGTCAAAATGATTTTCAGTACTTAAAATTTGGACCATTTTCCATTTGGTGTTATAGAACTATAAACATCAAATGATTCGTCGTGTTTAATATTTTCGTTTAACAAGTTTCTCGTGCTTCTTCCATGACTGTCTTATAAAATTCTTATTAAATTTTATATAAATGGGATAGAATTCAATTTAGTTTTTTTCGTTAAGAGTACAACTGTTATTTACATTGTTTTCATATTTTTATATTTCAACATACTAGAAGAAGAATTCAGTATATCAACATCATTTTTTGTTTAGTATTCATCGTTGTTTGGTACGTTATAAGTAATTTTAGTTAGACAATCTGGTGAGAATTTGGTTTATTTTTTAATACTGTACAAAAATGGTTTTCCTTTATTTGATTTTTTATCTGATTCAGTTTAATTGGTTATAGGAGTTTAGTTTTTAGTAAGATTATTTAAATTTTTCTTACTTTCATTAATATTTGGTACATTTGTACAGCTAGTAATTTCTACAACTTCTGATCCAAGTATTGAAAATCTGTTTTTAATAAAGTTTGCTTTATCACTTTTGGAGATTTTGATCTTAGTTTTACTATGGGTTTGTAAATCTTATGAAATTGATTAGTTTTTTTGGGGGGATTGATCTGGATGTACTTTATTCTTCTGAGGATATTTAGCGTTTGTCAAGATTTTTACAGTCTGTTAATTCTTTGATTTCAAATTGGGTGTTATTTTTGGAGGATTGGGGTAAAGAGTTTTTTTTTTACTTTCATATAAACATACTTATAATTTATAATTTGATTTATTATTAGTTTCGCATTAACTATAACGTGTAAACCACATTCGAAGTTTTGTTTTTGTTGGGCTCTTTCAACTGATTTAAAGGAAGTATCCGTTTTGACATTTGTGTATAAACGTTTAGCATATTTTTCATTTAAACCAAATACACTGTTATAGTGACAAAAGATATTATCAGTTTTACTGTACACCAAAAAACTGCATAGTTCCGTTTATACCTAATACTTTAAAAGACCTTTATTTACCCTTACCCTTACTTACTTTGGTTTATTAACATTGAAGATACAGTGTGAACGGAACTGCAGTTTTTCATTGTGAATTCGTTCACTAGCGGTGTTGTCGTGGTATAGTTTGTAGATATCAAATTGGAGGGTGGATCCAAGTGGTAGGAGAAGGAACCCATAGTTGGTGACCAATGAAGTAATGAAGTAATGATGTAATAAAAATCCTAGGGCTTTGCACCACAGGCCATCAAAGTTGGAGTTTCTCCCATAAGAATAACATGGGGGAATCTAAATATTTAATTGGAAGCATAATCCCCACTAATTTCAGAGAACGGCTGGGCGTAGAAACTTGGTAGAGGTGTCCAAAGAAAGGTCTTGGTCTGTAGATGAGTTATCAAAAGAAAAACTAAGAAAAATCCCTTAGGACTCTGCGCCAGAATTAATTAATTATTTCTTAGTTTTTCTTTTGATGGTCTACTTTTGATTGCAAATTTGATTCTTGGATTTTCGTTGTTTCACTTTTGATTTGCTCATTGCTATTTCAAGACATTGGTTAAACGTTTTATCTTCGTGAATTTCAATTTATCTAGACAGCAATTTTCCATCATGAATGCCCGAAATAAACTGTTGCCGCAGATGAACGTCAGATGTTGATGCATTACATTTTGGACATTTAAAATCACATTTACTGGCTAAGGTTTTCAGATCTTTGGCGAAGCTGCCTACAGATTCACTCGGATTCTGGATTCGTTTAGTGAACTTATGTTGTTCTGCAATAATACTTCCCTTAGGTTCCAATAATAATTGTAAAGCTTCACATATTTCGTCATAACTTTTATCCTCAATGTCACATGGGATTAGATTAATTCTCAGGTCGTGAAATACTTTAGGTGTCAATAAATTGATCAAATATTGCTTTTTCTTTAATTCTGACGTGATTCCGTTTAGGTCAAAAAGTTGTCTAGCCTTACCATGTATGAACTCCATGTCTCATTGTCTTCATCAAATTTATCAAAATTAGAACAGAAAATAGGTTGACTGGGTGTTAATATACCTTCTTCTTCTAGCTCCTGGTGTCTCTCACCCTTCCTCCTCCTCATCCTCGTCGCCATTGAACAGTTGTAAATATAAAATGAAACTAACATTATGTTACATAGTTTTTACTTCCATTTCAAAATCATGAACAACACAAAAACAAAAACAAACAAACAATTAAGTCAGCTGAAAACTATTTAAATTAATATATCTGTTTTAAGACAGTACAATATTATATATGGCCTTTTTGAACTTTTAAATTTAGTTATACATTTCATTATTTAAAGACACATTTAAACATAGAGCAGTCATGACGCAACATCCACCGGTGAATACCTCGTTTGTACGTTACTTGGCCAAGTAAAATTCGTGTCGTTTAAATGTTTTCGTATTCGTGTATTTTGCATATAATAGTAGCTATTTATTTTGGAAAACTCATCCATGCGGTTGAAAGCTCTTTTATCTCAACATAAAGATGTGCCCCAACGGCATGAAGCAGCTGGAGTTGATTTTAACTACATCAAGGATTGTTTGACGCAAAAGGTTACGTAAACCCTTTTTATATTTAAACTTTTTAAAAAATCAAATTAACTTGACCAAAAGATGTATCGAAAAAACATGCGTTTTATTGTTGGAGCCAGCTGCTAGAGTTAAAACGAAACTAAATTAGAGCATCTCGTTTTTATTAGCAAATTTAGGTATAGGGGAGAAGTTATTTTCGTAGGCACGCGCGGCACTCAAAGACCAAGACCCTTGCATTCCACATAGTCCCACAGACTATCCTGGCGCAACTATTTCCTAAAAACTCCTCAGGAAAACAAAAGTCCCCTTTTCTCCTAAATTAGTAATGTGATAAGTAGAAAATGTATAATTGTTATTACAATTATAGTTCAGGAAAATACCCATACTAACTCAATACTACATGTGGTGGTATACTAGTTTTTCAAAATTTTATTTATGTGCAATAGTGCACTACTAGTACAAATTAAATAGTAGTATGGAAAACGACACTATTTACAAACAACTCAGTCAAGTGTAAGTAATACGACCCTCGTCACTTCTGCCTCATTGAGCTTATCGAACTCCGCGGCGCTGGAAGCACAATTTAGCCGCGGCGCAAACGCCAATCGGTACAACTACAACTACACGCCGACCGGTGACCTCCGACCTTTGGCCTACTGATAACGTGGACAAAATAGTCTGACACTTCAGTCTACTAGCTGCGCCGGGACTGTCCGCGTCGTGTGATAGGCCTATCAAAATGTTTGTTCGTGCTATTTTTATTGATTGCTTCTGACAGTAATGTCTTTAATACTATCTGTACCCTGACGATGCCGTAACAGCGGTGATACATGTAGGTTTTTACCATCATATAAACAAATTGACGAGGTAATTATACCATAGTATTTATTATATTTGCGGAGTGTATTTAGTTCGAATAGTTTCATTAGAGGGCGAGTGTTTTAATATCTTAACAAAATTATCAAACAACAATAAAAAAAAAACTGTAGATATTGCATCGAAAAGCCTTCGTATTTTAACAAACGGATTATCATAAGACTAAGTAACAACTTACCTTAGTTGTTCAATAAAAACACTATAACTGAGTCTTTTCTTGGCGGCCAATTTATAGTTGTGATGAGTACATCAGTATACTAATGAAATTGCTAATCAAAACTAAGCTTGACAATGATAAGAACGAATTCTCTAGACATTTCCAATTATAAGGCTAGATAACGAGAACAATTGATCATTGTTCATCATTGTTCTTAGTCATCGAAGCTGATAGTAATTTTATATCAGACATTTCATTAATCCTAACAGACAATTCTAGAGTGTCATTGCTAAAGTTTCTTAAGAGTTACATTGCATGGGACATTCAACTGCCTCATTCGGCTGACGCCCGATTGCGCCGATGGTCAAAGAAATGTACAAGGGTCCGGCCAGGTCCAAATTCACCAACATTTTTGGGGTCGTTTCTAATGTCCAAATTCACCAAAGTCCAAGTCCAAGTCTGTTTGACTGTGATGCCTGGCATCACTTCTTCTCAAGCTCCTGCTTCACTTTGGAGCATATACTTGATGGCTGCATCGGGTCTACGCCCTGGTAGCCTTGCTACCTGAAGACGCTACGTTGTAGTGTGGAGTTTATTCAATGATGAGGGGCCGGAGCCGGGGAACCTCTTCGGCTATCAGTTCCCGGATATGGTCCCATGGAGACAAGTCCGCCGCCTCCTCCAGTCGTGTTCTGAGTCCGTCTACGTAGTCTCGGATTGTGCAGATTGCAGTGGAGTCTCTGATAACAGTGTTCCTCACATACCAGGGAGAGAAAGTAGCTAGACGAAGAGCCTTGCTCTGGACAGTTAGTAGTTTTCGTCTAGATGTTCTGCAGGTGAAGTCATGCAGGGGCTGCGTATGTGAGAACTGGCCGGAGCAGGGCCGTGTAGAGCCTGACTCTTGCAGCTGTCGTCAGCTTCGTCGAGCGGAGCAGTGGGCGGATGGCACAAAGACCTTTCTTTGCGAGGTTGCATACTCTCTCAACGTGGGGAGTCAGTGTCAGTCTTCGATCCAGAAGTACCCCCAAGTACTTCACTTGGTTTCTCCATTGTATGTCTGATCCGTCTAGGTTTAGGTGGTGACCATCGTCCTGTCTCCTTGATCTTGTAAATGAGATGGCCTCACTTTTGTCCGCATTTACTTTGATGCGCCACTTTTTCAGCCATGGGAGCAGCAGGTCCAGCTGTCGTTGGACGTACACCCTGGACATCCTCAGGTTGGCAGAGGTGGCCGTGAATAGCGCGTAGTCCGCGTAGAGGGAGAGCTGCACCCTTGGAGCCAGGGGTATATCATTGGTGTACCACAGGTAGAGTATCGGTCCGAGAACTGATCCCTGTGGCACACCCGACGAGACTGGGCGGGATGTTGAGGTTGCTCGTCCAACAGTGACACGGAAACTGCGTGCTGTCAGGTAGCTTCTGATGAGTCTGTATATGGATCCGGGTAGTGGAGACGATGCCAGCTTGAAGAGGAGTCCCTCATGCCAGACTCGGTCAAAAGCCTTGCTTACGTCAATCAGCACGGACGTGGAATGGTGTTTCCGCTCCATCGCTCCAGCGATGGTATTTAGGACACGCCGGAGTTGGAGGGTAGTGGAGTGGCCTCTCCGGAAACCGTACTGCTCCGTCCTAATCATCAGGAAAAACTCCTCGGGAAACCTAGCCAGGATGATACGCTCCAGCATCTTGGAGAGCACAGGTAGGAGGGAGATCGGCCTGTGGTTCTCCGGGAAGAGATGGTCCTTGCCGGGCTTGGGTATCATGATGACATTGGCCAGTTTCCAGGAGTCAGGGAAGTGGGCCAGCCTGATGCAGGAGTTAAAAAGGCATGTGATGGTGACGATGACCCAGCCTGGCAGGTTCTTCAGAGCTGGCGTTCCGAGGGAGTCCGGACCTGGAGCCTTCTTCGGGCGCAGTCTAGCAATGTGTCTCTTCACTTCGCCGACGGTCACGAGGGGGGGTCGATCTTCTTCTTCAGCGTCAGGCTCATAGTTCTCCACGAAGTCGTCAACGGTTTCACAGAAATCTTCATCATAGACGTCCGGATGAGGGGAGAATTGGACCTCCATTGAGTCCGCAAAGGTCTCCGCCCGATCCTCCGGGGAGTAGACAAGACCACGGCCCCATGTAGTGGCCTGTTGTATGATTTTTCCCCACGCAGGGCTCTGGCGACTCTCCAGATGCCGTCATTTGTCTCTGCTTGGCCCTCTATGAAGTCGTTCCATTCCTGAGATCGATGAGCAGCAAGCAAGCGGGAACATCTTCTAGCTTGATGGTTGAATTCAGCCTTGGCGTTGGGGCAGCGGGACTGTTGGTAGGCTCTTCTCAATCGTCTTCGCAGAACGATCTCCTCTCGTAGGTTTTGAGGAAGCGGAGGCGGTAGAACAGGGTTGACGTCCGAACTTGTGGATTTGACTGCGTCCTGTAAGAGGGTAGTCAGGTCCAGGACTTGCTGGTCAAGCTGTTGTGCATTTTCAGCTGGCGGGGGAGGGGGGAGTGGGGTGTTTGCTAGGATGTTGGCGAACTTCGTCCAGTTCACCCTCTTCCTGCGGGCTGGAGGATGATCAGGAATTCCCCCTTGTGGCAGGTCAAAGACCACCGGTACATGGTCGGAGGAGAGGTCGGAGACCACAGAAGCCTCTATCAGCCCATCGAATGAGCCAGCCAGTCCAATGTCCAATATGGACAGGGGGGGGTGGATGTCCAGCGTGATGGTAGTGTGTGGGATCAGCCGGGGCGACAACTTCTACATAGGGGTGGGCAGAGATGTACCTCTTGAGGGCTGCTCCAGTGGCGTTTCCTCTCCTGCAACCCCAATCAAGGTGCTTGGCGTTCAAGTCTCCTGCCAGAAGCACAGGTGAGCCGGGGGGCAGAAGCTGGTCCAGGAGTCCAGGGTCGAGGCGTCGTCCAGGTGGGTTATAGACCGACGAGATTTCCAGTTCAGTACCTCCATGGTTGAGGGCAATGGAGGTAACTTCCACTCCAGGCGGGAGGTTCTTGGGGACCGGTCTGTGGGTGACTCGCCTGTGCACCAGTATCGCCGTTCCTCCGCTGGGGCGTTGAGGTTGTAGGGGTCTGTCAGTCCTGTGCGTGTAGTAATTTCGGACGTTGAGGGCGTCCCCACCGCGGAGATGAGTCTCTTGAATAAGGGCCACGTCAACGTCTAGTTCTGTCAGTAGTTGGGTGAGCTCATTTCGCTTGTCTGCCAGCCCGTCATTCGACTGCCAGACTCCGACGAGTACACATCGAGGAGCTCTTTATGACGTCACCAACATCAACTTTCGACGCCGGAGGGACTGTGCGTGGGCCGCCTTCGTCGTCGACAGCACCACCGGTGCAGTTTCCTGGAGGGACAGCGCGTGGGCCGCTCCCATTGAACATCTCGCCGCAGCTACCATCACCGCTGGCCGAGATGTTGTCGTCTTGCAGTTCTGGTACTGCATCTCAAAACGGCCTTAGTCAAGGCCACCAAATGTCGCAGCGGACCGATTCTTCTTCGCCCAGCTGCAACGAAGTTTTGGGCCAAACGATTTCCCCGCCCGCACTCGGCACTACTGAAGTGGAAGATGGTATCCTCAGCCCGATAACCAACAGAGAGCGGCTCCAAGCTGACTTTCTTTCTACTGTGGCATCTGAGCTCAACGCCGGCCCAATGGACACTGAAGCAGCCCAGCCCAGCAACACCATCCCCCCAGGACATCCCTCTCGAGGGAAGGAGTCCAGGGCCTGGGGGAAGACCGCTGCTGCGGTAACCCGAGCGGGTGACCAACTGTGGTGCGCCACTGCCAATGACGGAGGCCCACACTTGGTTACTGGCGGCGAGGGGAACACTTGCCAGGGGAACCTGCGTCAGTCATTTCCAAAAAACGGCCTTTCTAAAGTCCACCAGACAGCCACGAAGAGGGCTGCAGCATCGTCCCCGCCTCCTGGACTTAAAACTCGAAGAAAGAACTCCGACACTCGAGAGGTGATGGACTCTGACTTCGTGGAGCCCAAGCGAGAGCCTCGACCACCCCCGATCTTGCTCGACCTGCCGAAGAGCTGGCCAGCTCACAGCTTAGCTATCAAACAGCTAACTGGAAGCCGATTTGAAGCAGTGTGCAACGGGAGAAATCTCAGACTGAAAGTTGAATCTGTCAAACACTTCAGAGCAATCCAACGATACCTGATGGACGAAAGGATCCCTTTTCATACCTTCGCCCTGAAACAGGACCGCCTCCTCAAGGTTGTTGTCAAGGGGCTACCACCAACGTTGACGTCCGAGGAGATCGCTACGGAATTCCACGACTTCTCGGTGGTAGAAGCCAAACTGATGAAAACTAGACGGGGAAACCCAACAAACTTGTGGCTATTGACCGTGAAACATTCCGAGGGATATGCCAAACCTGAAGAAATTTACGAAATCACCAGGGCCTTCTATTGCAAAGTGGAGGTCAGACACTACAGGCGTCCTACAGGCCCCATCCAGTGCCACCGCTGCCAAGGCTTTGGTCATGGGTCTGGCCAATGTCACCGCCAGCTCCGATGCGTCCGTTGCGCTGACTCTCACCCTGCAACACTCTGCCCCAAGGACTCATCAGCTCCTGCAAAGTGCTGCAACTGCGGTGGTGATCATACGGCAAACTACAGAGGGTGCACCAGCTACAAGTCACTCAAGACATCCTATGCGTCAGCGGCGAAATCGACACCGTCGGGTCGACAACCGCGTCGGTCACCGGATCCACCACCACCCATGGCTGAGCCCTCGGATGAGTCAGACCCAACACCTGTACCAGAAGACGATGGTTTTCAGACGCAGAGACGAAGACGACAGCGCGCACCGAGAAATCCGGCAAACCGGGGCAGGGCACCCCGCCCTCCGTCTCCAACACCGCCTCGTCCTGATGAGATCCCTGTCAACCCTGTCGAACCTCCGAACCCTCGGGTGAGAAGGACTCCCCACCAACGTCTTGAGGTTCCGCAACGTACCAGTAGCAGCCCTGCCCAGCAGCAAATCGGCCCAGCCCAGCAGCCAAACTGCCAAACCCAGCAAACAGCCAAATCTGTTGAGTCGACCACAACCCTGTCACCCCAACGACCATCACAACAGTCAGAGCTCTCTCAACTGCTCTCCACGCTAAGGAGCATGTTGGCAGT